TTTTGAAGTCCCTAAGTAATACTACGTCGTTTATGTTCTGTTCTTAAGTTAATGCTGAGTCGTTTTGGCAAGTTTCTATTTGGTCCTTGTTAGTTTGAACTTGAGTCTTTTGAGTCCTGTAAAGTAGCCGTTGCTGGTTGTTGATGGTTGCTGGGTTTTCTGGGTTTGTTAGAAGGATTTTCTGTTAGATGGTTAGCTGATCTGAAGGGAAGTGGGTTCGTGGTTGTTGCCGAGATCAAAGGCAAGAAACCTTGTATTTATACTCCTTGATTGATCATTAATAAAATTGTCAGTTTGCTTTCTTCTGATTCAACATAGTGGTATCAGAGCTTAAGCGCAGGCTGTAACCAAAATTACAAAGATCTGTGAGTTCAGTGTGTGAGAATAGTGTGTGAAAACGTTATTCTTTTCTGGGTGTGGGAAACACGAGTGATCAGTGAGGCTGTGTTTAAAGTGGTGAGTGAAAATTCTTTGAGTGTGCAAGAGCAGAAAGGATGAGTGACAGTAGCTTTGCTCAGGTCTGTATCCCTAAGTTTGATGGGGATTATGACCACTGGAGTCTACTGATGGAAAATCTGCTCAGATCGAAAGAGTACTGGAGTGTTGTGAAATCCGGGTTTCAGGAACCTGGAGAAAGAGAGGAGCTGACTGGTGCTCAATTGAAGACTTTGGAGGATCTCAGGCTGAAGGATCTGAAGGCCAAGAACTATCTTTTTAGTTCAATTGATAAGACGATTCTGAAGACAATTACCCAGAAGGATACAGCAAAGCAACTTTGGGACTCCATGAAGATCAGATATCAGGGCAATGCCAGAGTTCAGAAGGCGCAATTGCAAGGGCTCAAAAGAAGTTTTGAGGTACTGGAAATGAAAGAGGGAGAATCTGTCACAGACTATTTTGGCAGGGTTATGGTTATTGCAAATTCCATGAGGAATTGTGGTGAGGATATGAATGATGAAATGATTGTTGAAAAGATTTTGAGAACTTTAACAGAAAAGTTCAACTACATAGTTTGCTCAATTGAAGAATCCAAAGACATCTCTGAGTTGACAGTGGATGCCTTGCAAAGCTCTCTACTTGTCCATGAGCAGAAGTTTTCAAAGCATTCACGAGAGGAGGATCAAGCTCTTAAGACAACTCATGAGTTTGCTGGTCGAGGACAAGGGAGAGGAGGCTATCAGGGAAGAGGAAGAGGTGGTTATCAAGGAAGAGGAAGAACCTGGAATCGTGCTGCTGTGGAGTGTTTCAAATGCCACAGGATGGGACATTACAGCAGAGAATGTCCTGAGTGGAACAACTCTCAGCAAGTACACTATTCCAACTCTGGTTCCTCTTATCCAGATATGAAAGAAGATGTTCTTCTAATGGCATATGTAGATCCAGAAGCTGAAAGTGAGGAAAGTCTAATGGCTCTAGTGGAGGACAAGAAGAATGAAGAGACTGAATGCTGGTGGTTTTTGGATTCTGGCTGCAGTAACCACATGAGTGGTAATAAGAAGTGGTTCACCAGCTTGGACACTAGCTTCAAATGTGATGTGAAGTTGGGAAATGGTCACAAGCTCGAAGTATTGGGTAAGGGCAGTGTCAAGCTCATGTTTGAACAAATTTCCTTGACTGTGCAGGATGTGTTCTTTGTGCCAAACTTAAAGACCAACCTACTCAGTGTGGGTCAGCTGCAAGAAAGGAATTTAACATTTGTGTTCAAGCAAGGAATGTGCAAGATCTTTCAGGAATCAAGAGGCTTGTTGCTGCAGACTGCTATGAAAACAAACAGAATGTTTGTGCTGCATGCAGGTTACAAAGAAGACAAGAAAGAAAATGTGCAGTGCCTACAAACTGGACTGCTCAAGCAGAAACTCTAAATCTATGGCATAGGAGATATGGTCATTTGAATGCCAAATCCCTGATGGAATTGCACAGCAAGGGTAGAGTGCAAGGACTTCCAAAACTGGCTGGAGATCTGGGGGTATGTGGTACCTGCATGCTGGGAAAGCAACACAGACACAAGTTTCCTAAGAAGGCAACGTGGAGAGCAACTCAACCACTCCAACTTATGCATGCTGACCTATGTGGTCCTATTACACCTGCTTCAAATGGAGGCAAGAGGTATATTTTAACTCTCACTGATGACTACAGCAGGAAACTCTGGTGTACTTTCTAGCTGCCAAATCAGAAGCACTCACCTGGTTCAAGAAGTTCAAAGTCCAAATTGAGAAGGAAACTGGAAAACTCATTACCTGCCTCAGAACTGATCGAGGAGGGGAATTTATGTGGCATGAGTTCAGAGATTTATGTGAGGAAGCTGGGATCAGAAGGCAACTTACAGCAGCCTTAACACCACAGCAAAATGGCATTGCTGAGAGGAAGAACAGATCCATCATGAACATGGTCAGATGTTCTCTTGAAGACACCAAGGTACCTGCCTCTTTCTGGCCTGAAGCTGTCGAATGGACCACTCATTTGCTCAACAGAAGTCCTACATCAGCAAATGATGGCAAAACTCCTCAAGAAATCTGGACAGGTAACCCTCCTTCAGTTGATCATGTAAGGGTGTTTGGATGCACAGCCTATGTGCATGTGCATGATCAACAGAGAAAGAAGCTTGATGCTAAAAGCATTAAGTGCAATTTTTTGGGAATTTCCAAAGAAACCAAAGCATACAAGTTATATAATCCTGCTACAAAGAAAGTCATTATTAGCAGGGATGTGGTTTTCAATGAAATGGAAGGGTGGACTGAATCAACTGAGGCTGAGTCAACCAGGCTGATCTGGGATGGCAGTGATGATCAGTGGTATGACTCAGAAGGGGAAGGAGAAGAAGAGCAGGAAGGAGGAGAAGAGGAAGAAGCAGGGACAGCAGAACCTACCACACCAGTAAGCACTGGTACTGCTGCCTCCACTAATGTACCACAGCAAATGAAGAAGAGGAAGAGGAGGAAGAAGTTTCCACTGATGCTTTGGGTCTGCCAGCAAGTACTGAACTTGGTCCAAGAAGAAAGAAGTTTCCAAGCCATTTAAATATTTATGATTGTACCTTTGCAGAAACAGAATGGCTGACAATGGTGGCAGTCACAGATGATCCTCAAAGGTTCGAGGAAGCTGTTCTAGAAGCTAAATGGAGAGAGGCCATGAAGAAGGAGATTGAAGCAATCAAGAAAAACAACACATGGATTCTGACATCCAGACCTTTTGGAGTTATTCCAATTGGAGTAAAATGGGTGTTTAGAACCAAGCTCAGAGAAGATGGAACTGTGGATAAATTCAAAGCGAGGTTGGTAGCAAAAGGATATGCTCAAAAGCATGGGATTGATTACACTGAGGTTTTTGCTCCTGTGGCCAGGTGGGACACCATAAGAGCATTTCTAGCTTTGGCTGCTTACCATGGCTTGACAGTGTTCCAGCTGGATGTCAAGAGTGCATTCCTTCATGGGGAACTTGCAGAAGAAGTATACATTGAACAGCCTCAAGGGTTCGAAGTTCCTGGGGAGGAAGACAAAGTTTACAAATTACAAAAGGCACTTTATGGTTTAAAGCAGGCTCCAAGGGCTTGGTACAGCAGACTCGAAGCATATTTTCTGAAGAATGGCTTTCAAAGGTGTGAATATGAACACACCTTGTTCATTGAAGGCTGAAGCTGATATCTTGCTGGTTTCAGTCTATGTTGATGATCTGATGTACACCAGCAGCAGTTCTGCTATGCTGGAAGAATTCAAGCAATCCATGAAGTCTGAATTCGAGATGACAGACCTTGGGAAGATGAAGTACTTTCTTGGTGTTGAGGTACACAAACTGATTCTGGTATTTTCATTTCTCAGCAAAAATATGTGAAAGAGATACTGGAGAGGTTTCATTTGGCTGAGTGTAACTTCACTCACAATCCTATGACACCTGGAACGAAGCTTACCAGAGCTGGAGATGGAATTAAGACAGATGCCACTGAATACAAACAGCTCATAGGGAGTATGTTGTATGTCACAGCCACCAGGCCTGACATCATGTATTCAGTGTGTCTGCTGAGTCGCTTCATGGATTCACCCACCAGACAGCATATGATGGCAGCCAAGCGGGTTCTAAGGTACCTAAAAGGCACAATGGCTCAAGGGATCTGGTACAAAAAGTTGAATGAAGAAGACTCTCTGCTGGGTTATACAGACAGTGATTATGCAGGAGATTTGGATGATCGAAAAAGCACCAGTGGCTATGTTTTCTTTCTTGCAGGTGCAGCTGTCTCATGGTCCTCTAAAAAACAACCAGTTGTCACGTTATCAACCACAGAAGCAGAGTTTGTAGCTGCTGCAAACTGTGCTGCACAATGTGTCTGGCTTCGAAGAATAATTGAGCAGATGGGCTGGAAGAAGTGTGTAACTGGATCTACACGAATCATGTGTGACAATAGCTCAACAATCAAGCTTTCAAAGAACCCTGTGATGCATGGAAGGAGCAAAACATTGATGTTCGTTTCCATTTTCTGAGGGAACTTTCGAGAGATGCAGTTGTGGAGTTAGAACATTGTGGCAGCCATGATCAAGTGGCAGACATCATGACAAAGCCTCTCAAGCTGGAGTCCTTTCAGCTGCTGCGAAGTCGACTTGGGATGATTGATGGATCTGAGATTGAATGAACTGAAGCTATGGCAGAAGCTTCAGTTCAGGGGAGGATGTTAAATGAAGAATCCGAAT